TTTACAAGAGTAACAAATAAGTAGTGGGCTGTAGCCCCAGCTAGAAACCAAAATAAATTTCACTAATTTCCCTGCTACTCAATAATCTATTTTTTTCCTCTTACTATGTGTATTTTATGAAAGGGATCAAAAAACCACCAACTAGCAAAAAACATAAATACAGTATCGTATGTGTAACTATTTTATAAAACAGTCTTGTGCTGCAGCACTCTTGGAGACCCTGGGTTCCTCCCTGTTCTTCTGCAAGAACACTTTGCAATCTGGAATTGTCACACTGTATTTGATAACAAGGATAGATTTCAGCTGGTGATGATCCTGTGGTGCAAGCTGCTTTCATCCTCCTAGGCGTGCTGCAAATCCTTCCTTTCTCTGTCTACCACCTTGTTAACTGCGAAAGTAGAAAGTTTAACTCAGTCTTTCTGCTTAATGCCTAAGAGGTGTTTCAACAAATCTGTTTTCAGCCTTTTTTTCATCTGTGCCGCCTGCACTTGGTTCTGGAACCTATTGGTTGAGATGACAGATTGAAATGATTCCCTTCAGTGACATAGAAGACCAGTCAACCCACTACGTTTCTCTTCCACTTTATGAAATGCTTTATTCTCTCCAGAAATACCTTTTTAGTGGAAGAAAATAAATGTTTCACACCTGCCTGCTTGTCCATTTTATTTGTCTCATTTTGACCATGTGTCAACAGGACAAGTCTTTGTTTTGGTCTACTCCCAAGCACTTGATGGCTTTCACAATAGTAGAAGAGTTAATGTGTGTAGCTGCTTTAGTGGTAAATCTGTCACAGCTTATACATTATCCCATACCTTCTCTCAGAGTTCTCGATTGTATTACTTTGCCAAGTTCTTATCTGAGTGCAAAGCCTTCTGTAATTCTTCTTCAAATTTGCTACAGACTTTGTGGTATCATTTGATGCTACAAAGTGGCATCGTGAGCTGTTTCTAATTAATTATATTCAAATTAATTTTTGAGAATTTATGACCTCTTACCTAGCTTTAAGTTTAGGACTCTGTTAGTATCTTGAGTACTTCTATTTCATACCATTACTGTCTTCAGTAGTCAGGAAAAACTGTGAACTGTAAGATATTTTAGGTAAGAGAACCCAGACTAATAATCACATGCAGTTATCAGTGTTTTAAGAGCATTTTCAGAGAACGTTTTTGACCACTCTGCCTTTTGTGTTTGTTTTGTTTTATTGACGCTATGTATGACTGAATATTTAAACTCCCCCATGGTTGTTCCCTAGATTGTTTGGTTTTTTTTTTTGCTATTAGCTCAATATCATATATAGTCAACAGATTAAATATCATTGATACTTCTATTAAATGATCTGAAAGTATTTAAAGTTTAGTTCAAAGGTAAAGAAAGAGAAATGGTTAGATTGGTATTTGTCACGTTGTATACCTTGGTTTCCTTTTAAACTTCAGTGCAGTTTACTCATTTTTCCTCTTCTTCTTCAGAGAATTTCTGGATGTATTAATTTTTGCAGCCTAATTGCTTTCTACCATAAATAAAAAATATTTTCCAAAATACTGGGGAAAGCAGTGGAGTTATGAAGGGACAAAATGCATAAAGCGTAATTACTCTTTTTTGTTAGAGGATGGATGACCCAGACTGACATTGAAGGAGCATCATAGCTGGAAAATTTGAAAAGAGATGACTACTTCTTTCATGTTATTGATTTATGGCAAAGTTATTTTATTAGAAATCTTTCTGCAGACAATTGCTGATTTTCTTTGGGCAGAAATCTGTTGTTTGTTTTCTGTTTGTTTTCTGTAAGTCCGTAAAACACAACAAAATTAGAAGATTTAGTTCATTCTAAAATTGGGAAAAAGGCACTATTTTCTCCTGATTTATGTTTTTACAGGCCACAGTACTTCCAGGGGCTGCAGTATTTAAATGCTCCAAGGATAGTATATGGTTTCCTGTAAATCTGTAAACTGAACTGAGGTCATTTTGCACCTGAACTTTTCCATGCATGTCAGCAGATTGCTGTAGTTTCCTTAAGACAAAAGAAAAAGCAGAGCAGCTGAAAATAATTAATATTGAACTTGACACATCAAAAATGTAATTTGTCATTTGTGATTAAAGCCTTTATCTTTAGTTCTATTTTTATATCCATCATGGGTCTCCCTTAGCTATCATTAGGCTCCACATGGTTGGAGTAAGTCTGACCTTTGATCCACCACTATAGACAATGGGATCTTTAGCTGCTAAATTGGAGCCCGAGCTAGTCACAACAGCGTAGATTGACAAAAGTAAGCTTGGCTAATAAAATAATGATCAGCTTAGCTACTCTGACTAATTTTTAAGCCTGTGTGGCTAATATAGATGCTGATCTGCAAAAGAATGATACATTCATAACAGAATTAAACATCAAGGATTCACTTAGTGGTCATTTGATCTGATGTGAAAAATTTAAGATGGTGGGAGTGTTATATGTTTTCAGTATATGCATATGCTAATAAGTTGAGAAAAGAATAATAATTTTACAAACAGTTTATATTTTTTTACTTTCTCTGAAGCCATCTAGTTTTTCTGACTGCTACTGATATTGTGGTTACTAATTTTCTAAACACTGGGATGTTTGACACATCCCTGTCCCATCACATCATTGACTTAGCACCGCATATCCCCCTTGATGATCATTGTAAGCCCCATTCTCTCATACTGTGTATAAACTGAAGCAAAGCATAGAATATGATAAATGAGTGTTTCCATTATCATGTCTTTTTCTCCGTACAGGTATGTATAGCTGGAAGTCACTAATATTTTTCTGGGTTGACCATAAGTGGTGTTTTTTCAGAAGCAACCGTTATTTACAGTAGGAAGTAACTTTGCCAGTTGTTTAATTTCAGTATCTCAGTTAAACCTAGATTAAGTTTTTTGTGGTGCAAATTACTATGAATGTGATGACAAACTCTATTCCATAGCCCTGTGACGTTGCTGAAAATGTCCTACCACTTTCCACAACAATAAAATCATAAGCAAAGTCTTAGCTTGCTCTGTTAAGTTCGAGTCCCTCGTGAATAGAGTGAAGGCTGATTTGTAGTCTCACTGTTAAGTATTTTTATGGTAACAGTTTTATTATTCTAAGGTGATTAACAGGCTTCCTCTTCTTCTGCAAGTGATTGTGAGTTAGTCATTATTTTAGGCATCTACATTTTCATTATCAACATCTGATCATAAATAACTTGCAGTTTCTGAAGATACGAACAATGGTTAGCAGAGAGTTACTATCCAGAAGACCAAATTCCCCTCTTTTCTCTGCAAATGCCTCCATGCATGAAGCAGTACTTAATGCAGAAATGTTGACCACAGAATTATAGAATGGTTTGGGTTGGAAGGGACCTTAAAGACCACCCAGTTCCAACCCCCAGCCATGTGTAGGGCTGCCCCCTGAGCTCAGGCTGACCAGGGTCCCATCCAACCTGATTTTGAGTGCCTTCAGGGATGGGGCACCACAGCTTATCTGGGCAGCTGTGCCAGGGCCTCACTACCCTTTGAAGGAAAAAATTTCCTCCCAAAAGCTGATCTGAATCTCCCTTATTTTAGTTCACATCCATCCCCTCTTCAGACCATGGTCTTCTCTATCAGGCCATGTAAAAAGTTGATCTCCCTCCTGCTTGTAAGCTCCATTTAAGTACTGGAAGGCCATAATGAGATCTCCCAGGAGCCTTCTCTTTTTTGACAACTAAATGTTTGAATCTTAGCATTGGAAGACTGAAAGCATTGAAGTGGCATTGTGTTCCCTTGATGTGTTTTGACACAGGTACCTTTTTCAGAGCAGGTGCCCATGCGTTTAAGCTAAATAGCTTGCCCTTTGCTGTGGCGTATGTCTGTTCAGCTGTGGTGATCTTAGATCCCACTGAGACATCATCATGAATTGGACATTGGGCTCTGTCACCAATTTTGTCCTTTCTTTCCAAGTTAAAAACTAATTTACTCTTGTTTTAAGTTCATCTTGATACTTTTTAAGTATCAACTTTGCCTACCAATGTGTATCTTCCACTCTTCTTATTCAGAGAATAAGAAGAATTCTTATTCTTATGCACATATAAAGCTGATAGATAAAAAAGTGAAAAGCTCATCCTCTGTGACCTTTAGTGTTTTTATTTGTGTAAATTATTATTTGTTGAGACTTAATTTGTATGCAGTACTTGCCTTTTTCATTTTTTTATGCGTTAGTTTCTCTGGGAATGTTGCCCTGAGCATATTAATGCATAATTCAATGTTTCCTCTACCACTTCTTGTATCAAGCTAAATAACTTGGAATGACTTGGCATGGTGTAGTTTGATCTTCAGACTTCCTACAGAAGGTCAGAGAGAATTCAGAGCAATGGCAAGGAATGCAGTTTTCCAGCACATCAGTACTGTGTACATCAGTACACACATAGTACTGTGGCAGTTTTTTGATCTACTATTAGTAATTTTGATCAAAATTCAATAGGTTTTTTGATGGTCATCTTCAATAGGCCAAGCTCCTCATGCTATTTACCCCTAGTCCTTACAAACCTCACAGAACCGTAGAATTTCTTCAGTAATGGTTGAGTATTTTTCTGCTTGTAGATGTGTTGTTGAAGTGTTTTAGCCATTTTTGAGCAAAACCATGCCATGGAGAAGTGTTATGGCACAGTAGAGTTTCTCAGTCATGAAAATATTGTCCATGTGAAAAATAGCTGCATTTAGAATTTCTTCAGTATTAGACCCTAATCTCATCTCACTTGTTTTCCATTCAATACTGTTCTAGTTTTCTGTTTTTTGGTTCTCCTGGGTTTTTTTGCTTTTTTTTTTTCCCCCATGAAAAATCAGAAGTGTTAATAGCTATTTGAAAAAATGTGATTGTTCATTGAAGAATTAATTATGTTTTTATTTAGATGTATTTAAAAAATTAGGCAATTTTATAAATCACCTTTCATCTATGCATTCTCTTGCTTTTGCTCTAGGACTTATTACATGTTGTCAGTAAACCTAATTTTTTATTTTTTTTTTAGGTCTTCTGCTGAGCCTGCTCTGTGATGCACTACTGACACAGTAAGTTTGAGAAGGAAAATACTATTAAATACTTTATTACTGTTTGAAAGATGGTGTAGTTTAAGATTTTTTTTTTTTTTATTTCTCAACCAACAAGGCTTTAGCAAGTTATTAAGGAGGAGAAGATTCAATTAAAAAGATATCTGTTTTGTCCTCTCCAATTTCACCAACATCAGATCTCATGCAAAGAGATCACCATGTTTTTGATATTTTAAGTTACAGATATAAAAAATATATGTAGCGAAATACTTAATGAACAGTAAATCTAGCTAAGCAATTACTTTTAAAATTTTTGTGATATTGCTCTTCAGGTGTAATAAGAAGTCAAAGTGAACCTAAAGGTTTCCATTTAAAATGACATCATACTACTTTTTTTTTCCTTCTAATGGTAACAAAATTGTTACCACTCAAGGAAAATTCCTTGAGGAAAAAAAAATAATATTTTCTAAACAGTAAAATATGAGGTTTATTCTTGTAACCAGCACAATTTGTTTGAACTCACATATGGTTATGCTACAGTTGTGTAAGTGCTTACCACTTAGCTTTGAAATTGTGGTTCCAGTTTCATACCAATAAAACTGATTATTGCCCACTGATGATTTTTAAAGGGGACACAAGGCAGTTCAATTCATTTTGTTCTCTTCTCACTGCAATGTGGATTTCACAATTTTGTTCCCTTTACACCTGAAATGAGAGTGTTAATATGATTCTTTGGCAACTGGTGTAGCTAGCTAGAAACAGTCTGCCTGTTCACATTGGAATTGCTGAAGTTATAAAAATCAAATGTGCATGGCAGTCTGAAAATAATTAAGTAGACTGTATTTTGAAGTGCTTAACAGCAGAGGCAAGAATAAAGTGGTCTTTCAGGTAAGTCAGTGGAGTTCTTGCAGCTGCCTTCGTTGCGGTGGAATTAGACCTTACATTTTAGAAAATATGATGAATGAGAGAATGTGTCTGCATAAGGTGTTTTTGAAAAATGCTTGCCTCTTTCACCCTGGAGATGTTTGTTAAAACTGTCAGATTCTACCATAACCTCTCAACAGTGACTGGAGTCTACAATTTGTATTGCATTCATATAGCAGTAGAGGCTTCGATGTCTCCAAGTTGCTGATATTTTAGATGCCCATCTTAAACACATTGTGTACTGTGACGATATTCTTTTAACTCTCAGCTAACCTGGGTTTTGCAACACTCTGGCCCTGCGTTGGTAGTTCTGCTGGTGCTTCTGTGCTGTTTGCACATCTGAAAGGTGACTGTGAATTTCAGATCTTGAATTCTATTTTGAATGCACCAACTGATGAGAGGTGAGGAGAATTTACAAATTGTACTGAGGGATTTCATGGCCTTAGGTATTTGTGCTACATCTTAGAAGAAGAATAGTTGCAACTTTGTTATCATGCTTTTTCCAGAACAGGCTAGACAGAAGTTGTAGTTGAATGTCACCAAGAATGAAAAAATACATTAAAATGTTGTTTTCTCTCCTCCCTCCCTATTTCATTGATTCCTCTTTTGATCTTTTGAGGGTTTTTGTTTTTTGTTTTTGAGAGGAGGAAGGTTACAAATAATTCTGTTTTCATTATGAAATTACAGGACAAAACTTTAATTAAACAGTTTGTACAGAAAGCAATTAAGATACCAAATGTTTTTCTCTTTCTAGCTGAATAGTTATGTCTTGTCTGAAGAAACACCAGTTGCATTGTGTATTTGTGTAGGAGGTTAATCTTGTGTCAGAAGGTTTGTAATTGACAGTTACAGTATGTTCCTGCAGCAGTTCCAGTGCCATTAAAAAAAAAAAAAAAGCCAAACAACAAAAAAGATTTTGCTGTAAATCTCTCAGTAGGTTGGGGTGCATTTTAAACCTCCACAAATGCAGTCTACCGGCTCCCAACATTTTGCATTCAAGTGTCTTAAAGCATCTCAGCAAAACAGTAACATTTAGTTCCTGGGATGTTTATTATAAAAGGATTAAAAATATTTCTCTTACTCTGATATAAACTAACTCAGGTCAGGAAACCTTGAGGTCAAATCATATAGATTCCAGAGGGCAAATATTTTAAAAGCCTAAGTCAAATTAAGAGCTGGGAGTTGCGTAGGCTCATGCGAGATTGTTATGAGGCCTTTGCAATTTTACAGAAGCTCTTTGGTAAAGAGGGACTCTGATTCCTCTGAAGCAAAAGTATCCTTTGCGTTAGTTTTTGTTAGTACAGTGGAAAGTTTCACAGCTGTAAATGGAGAGTAAAAATAAGAGAAGAAAAAGATTGCACATCTGAGCGCTTCTCACATGAAAATAAAGCATACTGCTGCTAGTAAGCATCTTTAATACTGCAAGTTCTGACCTGATTGAATTGTTCTGGCATTAAAATGTAGGAGAGGATCAAAACTGGGAATTGTAATTCTCTCTCTCTTTTTTCTTTGTTTTTTGTTTTTTTTTTTTTTTTTTAATGGAAATCTCTCCTCTGTATGAACAGTTACTCCTGTTGAACTTTGTTACAGAGTTTGCAGGTGGTATTTAGGTAGCTGTTGCAGGGCTAGCTCCACATCACTAATTGTGCTGAACTTAATTAACTCTGTCATGGCTTCTAGTAGGGCAAAGGCATCAAGAATTGTTGCATTCTAGTGGGACAAATGCAAGGGTGAAAATGAAGAGGCAGAAGAAAATTCATGGGAACTAAATTAAAAGCAGTATAAAGTGACATTAAAATAACCTGGAAGGGCTCTGCCTTTTGCCTTTACTCTGTTGTGTTTTGGTATCTACTTCTAGGCTGTGGCGAGATGCCGGTGTCAGATGAACTCCATCGCATAGAACTGATTGATATATTTTTTTCCACCTTTGAAGGTCTATTTTATTTTTGCTGTAGGATTCTCATAGTTATGGTGCAATGCATTGTTATCATGAGCCAAAGTGTCATTGTCTAGGAATAGTTACTATTTCTGTTTAGGACTGAGAGAGAAAGCTGGAGTCAAGAGGAACATGTCTGGGCAGAAGCGTGCTTTCCTGTATAATGAATTAAAATTTCTACTCTGGCACCCTGTACTAAGCTATACCTTTTACTGAATTATCTGTAATACACGAGGTGAGGTCAAGACTTTCAGCTTCCTATAACATCTAGGAATGAATTATCCAAAATTCATTTGTCATCTAAATGAGAACAAGAACAGCTTTTCAAGGAACTAGACAACAAACCAAGTCAAAACATTGTTCTTATCACCTCTTGGTGAGAAATGGAAGCAACTAAAAGCACTAGTTTATACTCTTTGTGTGAAAATCTTGACATTTGTCATGTCAGTGCACTTTTTTTAAAAAAATGCATAGACATTCCAAATTACTGTTGTTTCATATAAAAGAGGAGGATTATTTAAGATGGTGTAAATCACTGACTTTTGAATAGAACATTTTTCTTCTGGCTTGACAGTAAATCAGGAACAATAGGGATGTTTGTCTTTAACTTGCTCTGTAAAACAGCATTTGTCTCAACAAGTTTGTCAGGCAGTGTCTGTTGATTCATGACTTCAGACAAATAGTGGAAGGAACAATTACCGTTCTCCAAAGAAAACAAACATATTCATAGGTATGTGGCAATTTTGCTGGGAATCACGCATCAGGCAAGTTAATATAGAAAGCAAAATAGAAAATAAAACATAGAAATCCCCAAAGCTTAAGCCAGGAATTCAGAAAAGATTAAGCTGAGGTTGTTGGTTGTTCGCAGGAAAACACAGCACATCCGACTTTTGAGTGGTTAACAAGTACAGTAATATGAAGAATAGATGTCTCTGTAGTGCTTTTATTTCTTGATTGTGATTGTTATTCCATTGTTCCTTTATGGTGTTTGTGAAGAAACACAGATGAAAAGAAAATGAAGATGAGATTTCCTTAGGAAGTGGCTTCTTTCTCTCTGTCTTGTTTTGGTTTTTTGCTTTGATGCTGTATGTGATAGAGCTTTGCTGTTTGTGATTGATGGAGAAAAAGATTAGTGAGTCTGAAGCAGTGGAAATATTGAGAATGTTCTGGTTGGAGGCTGTGTAGTCCTCTTAAAAGGAATATGAGAAGAAAAATCCTGACCTCTTTGAGGTCAGTGGCAAAGTTACCACTGACTTTATTAGGATAAGGATAGCACCTTGTAGATGAAGAGTTAAGGAACATAGAGGAAAGAGAGTCAGAGATCTTACGTGTCCAGAGGGAATGACAGTTTCTAAGAGAAATAATCTTCACAAGGCTGATGCTTATTTCTATTAAGAGATAATAGGAAGCACTTGAGTGCCACAAGATTTCTGTTTTTTCAATAGAAAAGCTGTAACCAGAATGTATTATCTTTTCTTTAAGTGTATAGTGCTTAAAAACAATACTGAACAACCGAGGAACTGGGAAAAAAACAAAAACAAAGCAAGAAAAGCTTTGTTTTTACAAACCTGAGCTTTGTAGTACACCGTTCAATTTCAGTTCTTGTAAACTTCATTCGGAAGGCAAGCAAGGAATAAATCTAGACACGGCTAGTATAATTGTAAGACAGTTTCTTCAGATTTCAACTCAAAAAAAAAAAAAAAAAAAAGGATTTATCAATACTTAGAGTTGATAAGAGTGAGTGACATTAATTATGTTGAGTGTTAGTTTTAAATGATAGTTTCTGGAATCAATTCTACATTAGAATAACCCGGAAACAAGTCGGAATTTCTATTTATAAAGAAATTTGGTATGTTCCCCATTGGAAATATTCCAAAATAATTTAAAGTAAACATAAATGATCCAGAAAACTCCTCAGCTTGCTTTCTTACAGTTATCAAGTAAAGGTGATAACAAAGGTATGCTGATTTAGGAGCATTTTCTCCTGGCAGCATGCCACTTACTACCTTAAATTTTTTCAGTTGCTGACCTTACAAAAGAGACTCTTTTCTGAAAGGGTACTGAGAATAATTACTGAAATTCAGTTATATTCTCTTTGCCTAGTGCCAAATGGGAATATATACTTAAATCATGTGTGGACTGAGAGTCTTTTTCTGATTAG